ATCGAAGCACGCAGCACAATCAGTGGCCTGACACAACTGTTAGGTCGTGCCGGGTTCAAACTGACTAAGTGGGCTAGTAACCAGCGAGAGGTTTTGATTCAGATTCCTTCTGACGAAAGGAATGTTTCGGTTAAGGAATTGTCTGACGGTACGCTTTCTACGGAAAAGGCCCTCGTTCTGCCTCGAAACATGGAGGGTGATTCATTTATCTACCAGTTTGAAATGAAGGAGTGCCCGGTCACGCGAAGACTGTTGTTGTCGCATTTGTCAGCTATCTATGACCCACTCGGGTGGATTGGCCCACTCATATTACTTTTAAAGTTATGGTTTCAAGATCAGTGTAGATAAGGAGTGGGTTGGGATGAATTGGTAGAGAGTGAAGAGCACAGATGGCGGCATTTTTGTACCATTTTAGAAATGCTAAATAGTATTTAGTTGCCCAGATGGTATCTTTATGGAACTTCAGAGACAGATCACAAGGTGGAGTTCCATGTGTTCAGCGACTCATCAGAAAAGGGTTATGGGGCTTTTGTGTACCTTCGCGTAATCGGTAAACAGGAATCTACGAAGTGTGTGCTGGTTATGGCTAAGTCCCGAATAGCTCCTTTGAAGTTTGTCACCATACCTCGTCTCGAGTTATCGACCGCGGTATTAGCTACTCAGTTAGCTAGAACGATACAAAAAGAAATAGAAATATCTCTACGACTAGTGTATTATTGGTCGGACTCAGCATCCGTCTTATATTATATTAAAAATGATAAGAGCCGCTTTTCGATATTCGTCGCTAATCGCGTAGCTAAGATCAAAGAAGTTTCTACCCCAGAACAGTTGCGACACGTGCCAGAGAAGGATAACCCTGCGGACTTAGCCTCACGATGTATGACGCAACAAGAAAAAGACCAGGTGCTATGGTTTTAGCGGCCACAGTTTCTAAGTCAACTGGGCATGACTGACTATGAAACGGATACATGCCCCGATCCCTCAAACAAATTCTTAGAAGTAAGGGAGGAAAGAGTAGCTGCATCAGTTGTTAACGTTGCTCATACACGTTATTTCGAGAGGTTCTCCTCGTGGTTGTCACTGATAAAGTCGGTGGCCTGGATTTTGAGGTTCAAACAATATCTACTCATCCTTAGTAGGGGCAAAACCCAAATGTCGTTGAGGGTAGGCTCTTTAACATTGTCGGAACTAAGAAGCAGTCGTGATGCTATTGTTAGTCTAGTACAAGCGGGGTGTTTTCCCTGGGAACTGAGCGTGCTACGTGGTGAAACCAAAGATAGCCAGCGAATGTCTACAAATAGCGCAATAAAACGATTGAACCCCATTCTTCTTGATGGGTTCTTATGTGTTGGCGGTCGTCTACAATGGCCGGATATGTCAGAGGCCCTTAAACATCCTGTAATCCTTCCTGCCAAGCATCATATCACACATTTGATAATTAGATATCATCATGAGTTCGATGGTCATGTAGGTTGCAATCAAGTCCTGGCCAGTGTTCGGAGGAGGTTCTGGGTACTAAAGGGCAGGGCCGCCGTTCGACATGTCATTGGAAGATGTATGCAATGCCGAAGGTATCGGGCGCATCCTGGCTGTCAGCAAATGGCACCTTTATTTTTAGAACCGGTTATTCATGATGGACATACCTTTGCGCATGTAGGAGTGGACTTCTTTGGTCCATTATACGTAAAGCAAGGGNTGTCGGGATAAAAGCGATATGGGTGTTTATTCACCTGTTTAAATATACGGGCAGTACACATTGAAGTGCCTCATTCTCTCTCATCCGACGCCCTTTTGCAAGTCTTTCTGAGCTTCATAGCAAGACAAGGAAGACCCAAAGTGGTTTTCAGCGACAACGGAATTAACTTTAGAGGTGCCTATAACGAACTTCGGGCGTGTGTTCATCTTTTCTCAGATACCAAAAACAAAGGATTTATGGTGGAGCGAGAGATCGATTGGCGTTTTGGTCCTCCGGA